TACAATAAAATAGGCCAGTGCATTATCAATTTTGATTTTTGAACTTTTATTCAGAGTAAATGAGTCATTTTCATTTGTCTAGTTATACTTGAACTTGTTTCTTGAACAGTGGTAATTGAGGTGTCAGTAGCAGGAGACTGAGTTATACTCGAGTACGATTGACTTAGTTCTAGTTCTTGTTTTGAAGTAGAAGGTTGTGATAATAACAAATTTGATTCAATATCAGACTTAACAAAACATAATAAACTTTGTATGGATATTTTGACATTATTTACATGAATTCAAATTTTAAACTGTCATTAATATTATACACATTTTATTAATATTAAAATATGTAATAAACTGATTTTCTTTAAAAACTTTCATTTTTATATGAGTATGGTAAACAAATCTTTGATAACTCAAAAAACAATGTTCAAATAGCAGTACATAGTTAAATTATTGCAATTATTTAAACAATTACAATTTTTTATTTAAATTATCAGATATTTAATAAATTGTTTTGCAAGTATTTTGCATTTCCACTCATATCGGTTTAAAAAAACACGTAAAAAATATTTTTGTAAAAATTTAGAATAATTTATTACGATTACAGCCATTACAGCTAGTAGAGGAGACACAATAGTACAAACTGTAATGATTGATGATAATTATTGCTTGATCGTGTAGAAATAAATCTAGAATTGAAACTATTAATATCAAATTTAATAATATTGTCGTCTCAATATCGTATACTAAACAATAAGAATCTAATAATAATCTGTGTTATAAATTTCAACTCAATTCAGAAATCAGTGTTAAATAATAATTGTTAAAAATATTTTTTTTCTTAAAATTCATTCTTTAAATCGAAATTAAAAATTAATAATTATTTGATTTCTGAATTTTAAGTGCACGATAATACAGGGTCCGGCAAAAAACCTCCCGTATTTTTAGACGTTTATATTTAAAGCTATTTAAAAATAAAACGGTATTCCGGGTATAGATAATAGAGGTCTACGTGCCATTTTCAGAAACCATAATGGCGTGACACGGTGAGCATCGTTTGTCGTATTTGTCTAACCTTACAGGTGCGTCCACACTATGGGCCGAACGCGAATCTAGACAAATTTGCCGTTCGTTCGTTTTCGTTTTGAATAGTACTGTTTGTGTCCAAATTGAACAGCAAATTTGCTGTTAGAATTTTGTTGCATTCGGTTACAGTTTAGTTTACTTGTATTTACTTTTTTCCAAGTGTGTTTTAATTTTTATTAATAGTTTTAATACAAGTATGTTTAGTAGTGAAGAAGATGATATTTTAATAGCAGCTGCTAGTATTATTGTAATGAAATATATAAAAAAAAAAAAAAAAAACAAAAAAAAAACACGTCGTTTATAGATGACAAGGTTTAAACGGAACCCGTAATAACTATAGTGGGAACCATATATTAAAATAACTAGCAATAGATGATATTGGAAGTTGGTCTTTCACGGTACAATTCGATTAATTTAAGTGACATCTAACCTTCACTCCATGTTATATATGTTAGAAATAATTTTATAAATATCTAAAGTATATAGGAAACTTAATAAATGAAATCGGAAACAAAAACCAAGTACAATGAATAATATGCTATTCGTGTCGAATGCATACGAACGCCGATTTACGTCTAAATTGACAACGAATTCGTTTACTTGATCGCTGTCCTATCGATCAAACGCGAAGGCAAACAAACGCATTTGTTGCTATTTGTTCACGTTTGACCCATAGTGTGGACGCGCCTGTATAGGAATAGGAATAAGAAATTTTTCGAAGAAAATGGGCAAAAAGTTACAGTTAATGCGGATCGCTACTGTCATATGATTGAGACCTTCATCGGACCAAACTTAAATCAGTTTACTAGGAACCACGAAGAAATTTGGTTCCAACATGATGGAGCCACAGCACACACTTCACGGCGTTCACTAACCATTTTGAGAGAGATGTTTCCAGGACATCTTCTCTCTTTACGAGGAAATATCACCTAGCCCCCAAGGTCCCCCGATTTATCACCTTGTGATTTTTTACTTTGGGGATATTTAAAGGCCCAAGTCTACACTCATCGCCCAACATCTTTGGAAGCACTTAAAGAGACCATCATTCAGGAAGTGGCAGCCACAAATGACTCGACGAGCAATGGAAAACTTCCGAGAAAGGCTTCGTAAATGTGTTAATAATAAAGGACAATATTTAACGAATATAATATTTAAAACTAAGTAATTATTTTATTTAATGTAAAATGGCATACTATATAAATTAAAAAATTTAATAAAATTGTTCTGTTAAATTGTTTATTTATTTGTAATTACTTTTTAAAATATGGGAGGTTTTTTTACCGGACCCTGTATAACACTTTTTTTTTAGAAAACTTGCGGTAGCGTGACGAAATGACTAACGTTGTGCATTAGCTCATTGTGATGCGTCTGGTTAAATATAGAACAACCAATATTCTCGTAACGGGAACGAATTTTCAAATTAGAATAGTTGTTGAACGTGCGATCACCCGAGAACTTAGAACATTTGAAAATATTTTTGTTATATTTTTAAGCCAAATATCATATTTTATTTCCAAGTTTTACGAGTGTGTGTGTGTATTGGCATAGAGGTAAACTCGGTTTAGCAGACTCACACACGACACAATATGAGGAAATGTTTGTTTTTTCGATGGCATTGTTTTGAAATACCCAAACACAATAACTCACTTTTATCATATTTTATAAATTTTAATTTTTAAACTTCTCGAAAATGCATACATAAATATAAAGTACATAATAAGCACGTATAATACATATTATGTATGTATACATCGAACTGGATCCAATTTACTTATTATTCGCAAACAATGCATTTGCATCGTATGGGTAACGGAAATACAATTGCCAACATTTCGTAACGTCATAAAGAATGCGAACGAACAAATTCTGACGTAATTATCTTTGTGCAAGTGCGCGGATAACACACGTCTTTTAAAATATTCGTATGCTCATCATTGTTGTAATTTGTTTATTATTAAATTGTCTGTTCACACAAGAATATGTGAAAACGCTTATTTATTTATACATATTTAATGATGTGTATCGAGAACTATAACTGAATTAGTTAGTGCTTGCGATGGAAAACATATATCTAACGATATTTTAAAATAATACGAATAGCATTTCAAATGTAATTTTTGAACCTAGTTAAAAAAAAACAAAAAAAACTGATTGTGATAAGATGTTTAACAATGTCCATAAAATGTTTAGTTGTGTTTAAAGCGAAAATGTAGTATTCGTTTCGTTATAAATTTTTAATAATATTAAAATACATTTTCGATCATATTTATTATCAGTTTTATTCTTCACGTGAACAATGACAAACATTTTAAAATTTAAAATATTCACAATAGGCTACATAAAATCTACAATAAAATATACTAATACATTATTATGGTTCCTTATAAGTGTCTAACTTGTAGTGCAGCATATTTGATGATAAAGAGACTAGTGGAAATTATTAGCCGTGTTTTTTATGAATTTCTACACTAGTGAAACGTTGACCTCTTTGTATATTAAATTTTTTTTAACGAAACAACGTAAATCAAACAAACGTAAGTCGCAAGGTGCGTTGCTAATTCTGTGAAGTGTTGTGTTTTGAACATTTTCAATTTTATTTCAATACGTTTAGGCAAATTCACTCCGCATTGAGCATAGTGGCATAGCTAAGGGAGAAAACTAATAAGAGTATTCAGCTCCCTTTTAAGGGCATAGGCGTGAGCAGACTTCAACTGCCGGTCGATCTTGAATACAATTAGTGCCCTAATATTTAGACAGTAACCCTAATTTTTTTCTAACACTTCAATATAGTAGATTCTGTTGTAAATTAAAAACAATGTAGTATTTATATCTTTATGTAGAATCAAGTATTATAATGCTAATTTATAGACATTAGGGTGGTCCTTATTTTTTGAATCGAAAAATTTGATGAGGAGTACCCCAAATTTTGTTCTATGTATTAAAACAATAACTATGACAAAGTTTGAGCGTGACAAGTTTACCCCTTCCCGTGCCTCAAAGGGGTTGGATTTTTATTAATTGGGGATGAATTACCATTTTTTGCATTTACTCTCTTAAATATTGATGTTACGCAAAAAACTTTAAGTACTATTATTGTAGCTATATGTATTTACTAAATAAAAGTTTCTCATAAATATGTTGTGAGGTTGATGGTTATCCGTTAATTTAAAAAAAACTGGTCAAAGTTAATGTCTTAGGAAATTTCATAATTTTTATTTTTTTCTCTTATCTCTTAAATTTTAAAGTTATTCAAAAATCGTACATACATTTTGTTATAGAACGTACTATGCTATATTAATAAGGTTTCTTGACGATTTTTGAAACATAATCATTTTTTATATAAAATAGAAAAATAACATTTTTATACTATTATTATTTAATTTTTAACATTTTACATTAAAAAAAGAAGAAAAAAAGGATAGAAATATAGTAACTTTACTATTTTATTGCATCTTTGGTCAACATATTTTTACTATGGCCTGGATATTTTTTACGGTATTCTTGTACTACATAAAAAAATAAATCTTAAGTGACACTAGTTATTTTAGTAAATTATTAACATATAACTTACCTTCAATACATACTGCTTTTGATTTTCATTTTTCGTAAATTTGGTATTAAAATCTTCCATCAATTTGACTCCATGGTCGGCTGCATCATTTATGACGCTCAAATGGTGTAAAATATTCTTGGCCTTTTTATAACTATCAATATTTGGCCAATTTTCCGGATTTTGTTGCAAGAAATCCATGCTTAATTTGAACCTTTGGAATATATTTTTCGATTTATGCGTCAACAATTCAAGTGGTAAGTCCTGTTTTAGAAATTGTGATACATCGCCAATTTTTAATACATATTTTTTTTGTATATCTGTGGTAAATTCATCGTCCTCAAGCTCGTCATTTTCTAGTAGTTTTTTAGCCATTTGTTTTTTTATTTAATTATCAATCCTGTCATCAAATAACGAAAAACAAGCGGTTTCTTCTCCAAGATACCATAAGTGATTAATAAATTTTTTCATAGCGATCTCAGCCACTTGCTTATCATCAGATTTATAGTCTTCAAGTTTTTTTTTAAAAAAGTACATCGTTATAAGGGGCTTCAATAGCATTAGGAGACCTAAACCAAAACTCGATATCGCATTTTACAATAAAACAACAAATAGTTTTTAACGAAGAAATTTCTGCTTTCGTAATTTTAAATTGTTCTTGAAAAATGTATATTTTCAAACAATATATTGCACATCCATCTAGCTAGATGATAAGCTCCTGGACGTCTAAAATGAATACCTTTAGGTGGTACCCCACCCAAAAAAATTATTACCAATTCCAAAAATTCTTTGTAATCATCCCTTGGTAGATTTTGGCTTAAGGTATCTTTAAAAAATATTATAACATCATCGACTACTTTATGCAATATTTTTTTGACCCCAATATCACTTACCCAAGTACTAAATTTAGTTGTATCTATTTGATTCCAGTTATTTTTAAAACGTTTAAAAATTGGAATATCGGGACCGGACATTATTGTAAGTTTTGAGTATGAGAAAATTGATTGCAAAATAATTTCAAATATGTGATGCCGACAAGCCAAAAACATTATTGGCCTGTTTAACATTTGTTCTAATAGCACACATGATCCATTTAATCTGCCGCTATTGGATGCCGTTGTATCAAAAACAAACGCTTGCACTTTTTCCAACATATCCCAATCCTTTAATGTGTCATACACTGCAGAAGAAATTTCCTTTCCGGTACCAGATGACAAATGTGGTACTCCAAGAAGTTGTTCTACGTTTGGTGCTGTTATAATAACTGGTAATCTATCTACATTTTCTGTTCCAATCAAATTAGGAAGTATTTTTGAGTCCCAGTGAACAACTACAGAATTTAAGTTTAATTGATGGAACGCTGTTTTAATTTCGGAAGATATTTGGTAACGAAAACTTTCACGAGCTCTCTTAATTGAAGAGCGACTTATCGCATAGTCTTTTACATCTACATTAAATACCTCGGTACATGCTATTAATAAGTGAACTGCATCCCTGTCACTAACCTTACATTTGTCTAAAGCTGATGCTAAACGACTATTCATAATTTCTTTCCTACCTCGTTTATTTTTCACTGGCATTGTAATACTTTCACAAATTTCGGAATCTTTAGAGTTAAGCACATCACGTTCATCATCGCTTGATATACTCTCCACAACATCAACACTGTTAGTTGGGCTGAAAAAAAAAATAATAGATATAGTCAATTTTATATTGTATATTAGGTAAATTATTGTTAAAAATCATTAGATAATTTTTTTTTTTTTTTTTAATGACAAAATTAATTTACCCGGTTCCATAATCGATGTTTGTTTGCTTGAACAATTCTCTCCTTTGCTCTCGCTCAAATCTTCGTTCTTCAACTGCACATAATTTTTTGTCCACACCTATCATATACCCAACACGACCTTCTTGTCTTTGTAAAGTTAGAAACTGCCTGTCTTCTTCAATTTTAATTATATTGAAAGCATCTTTGTGGGCAATATCAAACAAATTATTTAATGAGTTTTGAAATTTTTTTTCATTGTACTGTTGTGTTGCAGACTTTCTTGTTTTATTTTTATCTAAGCTTCGCCAACTTTCATATACATTTTTTATTTTTCGAACTACATCACAATGATGTTGAGTAGGTATTCTTGCCTTTTTCCAAAACAATAAGCATTCATCAGCAACAAGGCCCGAACTATCATTTAAATTTAAATTTACAACACGCATGTTATGAAATAATACCCGAAGGCAGTCTCCATTGGATGGTAATTTATTTCCAGTAATTTGATTAACCATATTACCTAAAAGGAAAATATACTGACGAGGCATTTTTAAATCAAATGTAAAAAAGAAAAAAAAGAAACGTATAACACTTTGTGTAGAAAAGTCGCACTAACTTATGACACAATTGTGAACACTGGACGTCTAAACAAACCGACAGTTTGACGGATAATGGTAATTTAATATTATGTTCTATTAATCACTTTTTCAATTTATTATGAAATACTATTTGGCTATGGCTCGTAGATAAAAATGCGATAAGTCAAAGATATAATGTGTTTGTGGTTTCATAGTCTAAAAATACACAACTAATAGTCTAAATATTATGTTATCGGAGGACAAATATCAATGTACTGATTATCGTCATCAAAAATATCGATTTATTGTAAAAACAAAATTAAAATTATTTATTAACAAAAAATAATAAAATTAGGGCGAATCGTTCAACATTCCGGTTTCTTGTTAACTGACGGTAAACCATCAACCTCACAACATATTTATGAGAAACTTTTATTTAGTAAATACATATAGCTACAATAATAGTACTTAAAGTTTTTTGCGTAACATCAATATTTAAGAGAGTAAATGCAAAAAATGGTAATTCATCCCCAATTAATAAAAATTCAACCCCTTTGAGGCACGGGAAGGGGTAAACTTGTCACGCTCAAACTTTGTCATAGTTATTGTTTTAATACATAGAACAAAATTTGGGGTACTCCTCATCAAATTTTTCGATTCAAAAAATAAGGACCACCCTAATATATATATATATTTCAACCGATCGAAAAAAAAAAATGTACTAAGTTGACTTAATCCTTCCAGTAATATGCTACATGCCAACTACCTCTCATGTCTCGTTATAATTTTTGTGTAAATATAAATAATACTATAAACCCGTATCGACCGTATAACTCGATGGATATCGACCGGATGCTTATAAAGATAATAGTCCATATATATATATATATATATATATATATACTAGAGTAATATATTATTTGTTTTATATTCAGTCCAGTCGATTATTATCCGTCGTTTTTGCGTTTCGCAACCACGCAACATCGAATCATACACAAAACGTCGTACGAGTATATTTTGTAATATTGTGTAATGTCGAAAGTACAATAGTCTACGAGTAACCGACTGTAAAGTTTTGTTTCGGCGTTCAAAAATACATTTACATCCAAAGGATCAGGGGTGTATTTAGACTTACTTCTAGGGGGAGACTCAAATTTTTACTTTAATTCAGGCTCAAAATGTACATGTACAATGTTTGGTAATATTTAAATCAGGTGAAACCATAATATTTGTAGTTTTTTTTTTTTTAATCTAATGCCGAATCCACTTAGAATCAGGGCTTTGCACCCGAATTAACCCGAACCCGTAACATTCCTAAAAACCCTTAAAAAATCAAACACCCAAAACCCATATAACTCGAATGATTTTTTTTTTTTAAACACCCGAATTAACCAAAACCCGAATAAAATGTTGGTTTTAACTCGAAACCAGAATAATTTTTTATTTTACAATCTTTATGTGACATATCATTTTGTATGTATTTTTTGTGGTTATTTCAATTTTGTCATTAGTTTAATAGTAAAATTATTATTTACAGGAATAATTTCACAAATAATATACAAAATTGTTAATTAATCTAAATTTATCTAAATAAAGACAATAGCAATTTACCATATTGACAGGTGTGTATGAATGGTGTGGTATGTTGAATGTTCAAGTGTAAACAACTAGGATACTATTTTTAAAATTATCCCAAGCGAATACGTCGTATTATTATAATTTTATAGGTAATAGCTCTTCTACGAATCATTGAGTTGTTATTTATTGCAATAAAATATAATTGATGTTTTTCGTATGATTACCTAAATTGTTGTTTGTGTTATTCGTATTTGTTCAGTGTATGACGTGTAGTACACATGTCTATAGTGTGAATTGTCAATTTTTGTTGATGTAATAATTTCATCGTAACACTCATAAGTACAAATTGTTATTATTTTTGTATTACGATATATCCTAGCTAGTGCGTTTTTAGTGTGTGCACGCACCACAAATCATAAACGGAAATTTGGTGAAATTTGTGGGATGGCTGAGCATCATTTACTTATTACAGCTATATCACACTGTGCACAATTATTTATTTCAACAAGGCAATTTACGAAATTTGACAATTTGACATTTTTAATCAACAATTTAAACAAAAAAAAACAATTAGGTGCCTTATATTAAACATTTTTGGAGTAGGTATTCTAAACAAAAATTATTAATTAATTAAATTAAACAACTTATACGGGTACTATTAGATATTATTAATATTACATTAATTGAGATCGTTTCGAGTCATGACAAGAAGTTTGTAAAATCTTACGAATTTGATTTAATTTTTATCACAGAATATTTTTTTTTAATTCAGCTATTAAAAATGCATTTTACAATTATAATAATTATTGTATTTTTAGCCATTTAACAATTTTTAGGGCTAGGGGGCTAAGACCTGCACTTTATATTTCCGGGGGGGGCTTAGTCCCCTTAAGTCCCCCCGAATTCCGCCTATGCCACAAACATAAATGCACACAGAAAGAAAAATCTAAGTAAAATTAAAAAAAAATGACAATTAAATCAACAAAATCATTGTTAACATAGGGCCAACAGACCTGTTTGTTGATTTCAAAATTTTCATTTTGTTAATTTATAGATTAATAAACAGTTTTATTAATTTGCTAAAATTCCCGTTTAGTTCAACAAAATGATTTGTTAAGTCTCAAACTCCAAATTTAGTGCATTTTGTTAAATTTATAAAGTTTTCATTCAATTTAACAAAGTTGTTGTTTATTTTAACAACTCTACATTTATAGAATTTTGTAATATTAACAATACTTTTGTTATATTTATACAGTACTCAATTAAATTGATGAAAACCTTTATTTGAAACAATGGAAATATATTGTTGATTCAAATAGGTCACATTGTTGAATCAACACCGCTGTAGCTAGAGTGAGGAGCACTGGAGGAAAGTGCCCTCTCTCCGCCCCTCAAATTTAAGTTACATTCACTATTTTACATATGAAACGAATCATTTTGGATTGCTTTTATTGTTAAAGTATATAGTACCTACTTACAGTAACTAAGAAAAATAAAAATAAATAATTATTTTAATACTACAGTCGAATCCGCTTTATTGGGACATATCGGTTGCATGTTATTTTGTCCCAATAAAGCGGTTGTCCCAATAAACCGAAATACAAAAATTTTTTGAAAATTTTTTATTATTGACTTTATTTAAATTTTTTATTACATTACAAAAAGAAAAACACGGTATTATAACTTAGTTATTTATAAAAATACATACATACATAATTAATATAAAGTACATACATTCATTGTATTTTATCTTATTTAAAAAAACTATGAATATTACTTTGTTTCTCGCGTATTATTGATTGTTGACGAATGTAGTCCGAACAAGAATCCAAAGCATTTATGGGGCTTCCCTCATTTTCTTGTTGAAGAAAAAATAGTCTCAATGTTTCCAAACATTTCTTTGCCTCCTGTAGTCGAATTGGTGGATCTGGTTCCTCGTCTGTATCTTCATCCGAATCATGTTTATCATGTTTGGATTCTTTTCCGTGTTGTCACTTGGCTAAGAGCTTGTTCTCGCAAAAGCTGTTCTTGAAGTTGAATTCGTGCGATTGTTAATTTCGGTATTCCTAAAATTTCCGAAAGACGACGAGTACTACAGAGTACTACGAGTACTACAGCCTGGTGGCTGTAATTTAATTTTGTCGAGAATTTCTAATTTTTGCGCGAGCGATAAATCTTTACGTACACGAGACATCGTTAATACGAGCGACAAACACGACTGATGCACCAAATAACATTTAACATACATCACATGTGAACATACGATAAGATAAAATTTAATCTAATAAACGATTACGCGAGTCGGTCGCGATTTTCGAACTACTGATCTATTAATATACTCGATAAAAATGTCCCAATTATCCGGATTCGTGGCCCAGATAAGCGTTGAACGTTTACCCTACAAGTATACATTTGTTTTCGTAATTGAAGAATTGTCCTTATTAAGCGGTTGTCCTTATTAACCGGTGTCTCTATTAAGCGGATTCGACTGTATATTATATTATGTTTATAACCTGTTGTACGTGTATACCTACCTGTTTTAGGTACTTTGTACTTCCGTTATAGGTGGTACTTCTTGAGCGTTGGATTGTAAGAATGTCACAAACTTACAAATAACATATCACATCGAGAACGAAATGAAAATAACAATTTCATAACCATAAAAATAATATAAATGAATACCAACATCATGTAACCATCGATAATAATAACAAAAAGTTTTTGTTAAAATTCGATATTAACTAAACTTTTTTTTTAAATCAAACAAACGTATTAATAATTTCAACCACGTTTGGGAAAAACAATACGTTTTTTCTAAAAATAGATCAAATTAAAATAAACCATCAGTACAAACAAAATATTATCGATTTAACCAACCAAATTATATCAGATCGAATAAAATCAAAAGAATTATTGTTCAATTAATGCATACATCTGTATCAAAATATAATCAAATATAAATTGTTAGTTTCATAAAATATTATCAATTTAACAAACCGGATTCTTTTAAATCAAATACATTTTGTTTAAATCAATTATAGTATAGTTAATTTAATTCATATATTCTTGTTAATAATTAATCAAAACAATTTGTTAATCTTACTTTTATAATTTCTTTCTGTACAAAATACAAATAGTTTGTTTTTTGTCACATGCGATATGCCCGCACTAACTAGGAGTAGGTGTTAGTATTTTTAATTTTAATATATATTATAATTTATAAGCTTTATACACATATTAAATAACCCCCTCTTCCCCAAAAATAAATTGTAGTTACACCATTAATTGAAATTAACATAAGGATAGTTTAATTTAAAAAATTGTTGCATAGTTGTATAAGAAATTTATATTTTATTACA